GAGGACAACTTACTTGTAAAAATAGGAGAAATCGTCATCCAAAGTATAAGTGCCAAATGTTTTCGTCGAAATCGTCTAACTCTTCCAAAGTAGGAGTTCCCAGAGTAGGTTACTTCGAATCCATCTCGTGAAACCTATGCGAAAGTTTCGATAACCCTAAACAACTGTATAACGTTTTATGTACAGTGAAGATAATCGGCCAGAAGTTATTATACGCCGCGTCTTTTATAGTTTTCCCGCCCATTTAAGCGAAAAAATAAACGTTCAAATATCCAAAAACCGCGGGTTTGGGTCGGGTCGTCGGGCTGCTACGTGGCGTAAATTTATGTTGGCCGAACCTATAAAACCATTCGGAAGGACGTAATAATTGTTCGTAGATTAGAGGAATCGCAAGCTTCTTGCTGCTTTCTTGGTAGGAAGAACTTCATTTAGAGCAGAAGGCCTATCTGTTTTGGAGTTTCTTTCTCTCTCTTGCATTTTATGGTGACTGTCTGCGCTATTCGAGTATCATTACAATGCTGGACTCTGTTTCTTCTCTGCTTTGTTTTGTTTAATTATTTTTTTAAAATATCGGTAGTTTCTTTGATATTTACCAGACCATAGATCCGAGTTTTGAAGATATTCAGCGCTTGTTTTTTTTTTTTGGGTGCATTTTTTCCTATCATCCATTTCCTTACAGGTTTATAGAAATACTTATCGTACCTTGGAGCTGCAATGAAGTTCTTTTCTTAATATTTGAACACAAATACGCTGTTCATGGGACTTTCTTTTCAGTTATGATTTCCTTTACTTCATTGCTTAGTTTGATCCAAACGTAGCCATTGTCTTAATGTTTTAAAAGTTATAATTTCTTTGTTTTTCAAAAAGTAAGTTTGGTTATAAGAAATGTGAAGGAGGGAGCTGACTAATGAGCCATAGCATGGATCAAGATTGGATCACAATTTATATGCATTAATGTACAATGCATAGACACCTTATTTTATGCATGTATTTAGATATGAAGTAATGCTATATATATATATATAATATATATATATATATATATATATATATATATATATAATATATATATTAATTGACCTTAGGTTGGATTTAATGAGCCATGCAATGCTCGAATTGATATTGGATCGAGCCAACTTATAATCAAACATGGTACAAGTTATGATCAAAAGCGAACGACTTTGAATTGGGATTAGATTTGCTCAAGATCATATATTTAAAATTCCTACGTCATGAGCACAATTAATGTCTCAAGGGAGTCTTTAATTGCATAATCATATAATTATAATTTCAATGCTCAGAGTTTTTAAATGGCTTGGAATCAAACACATGGCTTGTTTGCATGTTATATTATATATATATATATATATATATATTTCTCCTAGGAGCATGATCATCCTCCTAATTCTATTTTTACATCTTAGACGTTATCTAACCTTCAACACAATATCACAATATTGATTGTGATCTACAACTTAATAGTCAGGAATTACTCTTAATTGTGTTTCATCGATTTATGTGATGAAACATTCATGAACTATGTGAAAATTTCTAGGATGATCAAATCACATCTATAATCTTTTTGCAAAGTCTAGTTGAACCAATTTATTTCACTAATGAAAATGTGTTATGCATGCAATATATCATATATGCTTGTAATTCCAATCCATTTAAACTCTATAGTTTGAAATCGCAATTATCTTCTCATACAATCAGAGCAATTCATCATGAAAATTTGGATCCATCGAACTAAAGCTCAATAAATCTTAAAAATTCACGATATCGTGCTAGAATGAGTTTTAATAATTCAAAGAGAATGTGCTCTTTTAATCTTCTATTTCATGTTGATAATATCAAAATTCAATTGGGTGGAAAATGATGATTCTTGAGGAGAAAAGTCTATTCTTATATATGTATATGTATATTTTATTAATTTATATGTGTTCATAAAGAATAATACATCTTTTTATATTTAATTCATTTATATTTATAAATATGTAATTTTAAACTTTTCTTTTTTATTTTTAAAATACTGCTTTAGGATGATGTGGCCTGATTGAATCAACAAAACTTTACTTTAAACAGATCATTTTCAAGAAAATTTGAATTTTTCTTGAGCTAAAATAATAAAATAATCAAGCTAGAATTGGGGCTTGCTTTAGCTTGCCTCTTTATTACTCATTTTATATTCCAAAAAAAATCACTTCGCCATTATTTCCAGGATTCCGCTCCCTATGCTCATTTATTATTAATCCATACATATCAACCATTATTTTTGTTTACAATTTCTTTAAAATTACGCTAGACATTTCAACCATATTTTCGTTATATGCTCGAAGGTTGATCTAAACATTTTATAAAACAATAATGTCTATGGAACAGAGTACCAGCATTTTAATAAGATTAGGTAATAGAAAATTTAAAGTTGTTGCCTAATCACTGTACTTTTCTATTACTTTATTGTAAGCAAAAACAGTAAAAATGAAGTAACATTATTTGTTTTCGTTATATCTTGATGAAGGACGTTTACTTTTCTATTTTATCCGTTTCTCTGTCTCTGGACTCTTATTGTTGTTTGCAGTTTTGGAGGAGCCATATCAGTAGACAGTGAGATAACATGCAGAAATCCAAAACCAGGTCTTTCTCCACTACAGCTCTGCCATTATTTTACTTTTTTAATTATTTCATTTTTTTATATTTATATTAATGTCCAATAATTGTATGTCCTATTGAAGGTATGAGACCAAAATCTTATCTTTTATGTTTTTTTTCTCTGTTGTTGGGTAAAAATAGTTGATATGGAAATTAAACACAACCCATTAGCGCCATATGAATTGAATGCAAGAGCATGGGACCTGTTGCAGTTTTGAATGTATTAGTGTAAAATTAATGTAGGTACAATTAGTTTTTAGACCTTGACAATACTTCTTAAATATTTACCAACTAAACTGAAACCTCATAGAGTAGATCATATTGATTATCAATTCTCTGATCTAGATGTTGTGTTTGTGAGCCATGGATCATTTAACCATTTTGTTTGACTAATACTCTACTTTTTGTTTTTTTTTTCCCTAGCTATAAATCCTCATCCTTGTGGCCTTCCACTTTCAAGATATACTCCTTTAATTGGATAGGTAGAAGTATATCACAAAAAAATAGTCGGATAATTAGAGGGTGTTCTCAAAACATTGGTTAGATTGCCTCAATTTCTGATCACTTTCTTTGTGATGTAGGGATTATACTACATACTTTAACCCTTATCTTGTTCACTATTTGAGTCAAATCTCTTGCATTTGGTACATCTCTTGGGTTAGATAATTATTGTACGTTAAACTTTAGGAGATATTGCTCAAATGAGATTTCAGGGTTCTTTGTGAAATTTTTTAGATATATAAATAAACTGTGACTGTGATATACAACATAGTTACCACAGAATTAGCATTTTATTTATTTGATCTAATTTACGTGTGCATTGAATCTTCATTTTTCTTTAAGCCATTTCCTTTCATTGAAGCATTTAAGGAATGGTGTTTTTTGAGTGTACAATTTGTATTGCCGCATATGTTCCTTTCAATCTGGAAGAGGTTATTTTTTTGTAGGATTTTACTGCTAATTAAGGCTGACCATGGTTATCATCCACAAAGTTTAATATTTGTTATTTGTGTTAAAAGAGGGTGGATCTTGAGCAATGTTAAGTTCGCCTCTACTGTGACATGGATATCACAAGTTTGAATCATGGAAAGAGACTTAGTTCAAATGGAAAATTAAGGTTTCATACACTGAACAAGTTTTGTCGTGCAATTAAAATATCCAATATTTTTCCTATAATTTGAGTTACTTATTTATGCTTAATCCTTAATCATGTCCAAACTGTAACTCAATTGCTTGCTTGAATCAGGAATGGGTCATCAGAAATTCCTCAGAAGGCATCTTCAATCGCACCCAGATCATCTAGTGTGTCTAAGACGACTAGATCTGAATCTGATTCAGCCAACTTGAAGCTCACACCGACAAACTCAACTGAAAGAAGCCCTAAGATGATTGACCGTCGGTTACCCAAAAGCTCAGTCATTGAGGTTTGACAAAGGCAAATTAATATGATTGCCATGTTTTTTTTTTTATAAAATAAAAATCCATAGAAAATGAAATTCACCACATTTTTCTATCAATGATAGTAGTTATAGATTACATGATTTATCTACAAAGGGAAAATCTAACAACATTAATTCAAAATAGAAGATCAAGTCTTTAGAAATTTGTTATGAACGGTAGCTAGAGCCTAGAAGAGACCAATTCTTAAAATATAAGTCTGTATTGACTCTAATGTTGACGATGCTGCTTTAACGAAGGAAAATAATACTCATCAATCACGTGAGATATACAACTTCCATGTGGTAATATTAAAATATAAGTAACACTTGTAGTTATTATTTTACCTAAAATATGCATGCTAAAGTACGAAAGATTTGTTTATTTTCAACATGCAACCATAAATTTTCCTTCAGAATAGTATGAGGGGGTTGTTGACATAAATCTCAAAGGAAGAATCCCAATGATATATCAGAATTCAATTTTAAGATTTAAGGGTTGAGCATCTTTCAACAATATGGGGTGCTTTTTTTTCCATAATTTTATTTTGATAAATAAATAATGTATGAATAAGAAATTTGATGATGGATGCCAAAGTTGAAATGATTATAAAAACTAACTTAAAAATTCTATGCCCCCCATCCTGTTGAAGAATTTTAATATGAGTATTAAAGTGATTTTTTTCTTTTTTGAAAGTGAGAAAAGCCATCAAGAAATAAGCTTTAGGCTTCAGCAAATAAAACCAAGAATATGTATTAAAATGCTCGCCTAATGATAAAAAGTAACAAAAGTTACTACTGGAGAACCTGAAGGTGATGTAGAACGGAGGGGGTCGGCCAAAAGAGGGGAAAAAGGGAAGGCGTCCACATATGTTGAATGTGTCCACATACGGTGAATGTGTCCACATACGATGAATGTGGACTTAAGGAATTTCCAAACTTGAATTATTAAGATAAGGAAAGGGGAATTATGACAGGTATTTAATTAAATTCAAATTGGGAGAATTAAGAAAAGCCTCCAAATATAATTCATCCTATTTTAAGAAAGAATTTCAAATTCAAATTAATTTAAATTTGAATTTAAAAACTTTCCAAACTTAAGATGTATCGAATAAGGAATGCTTTCAATAATCAATTTGAAAAGTGGAGGGAAAGAGGAAATAGGAAGGGGGGTACAACCGGCGGCTAGCATCATTATGGGTGATTGATATGAGCGGTTAAAGGTGGCTATATTTAGAATCATAAAATAGGAAAGTGGATTTAAATCAACTCCTATTTAAAAATTAAAATTGCATGATTTGAGAAACTTCCCTAAAATAGTTTTCCTCATTTAGGAAGTAAAATTTGAATTTGAATTTAAATAATTTCCAAAATTAAGGGGAGCTAATTTAGGAAAGGATTTGAATGCTAAATTTTAAATCTTGGAGCCAAGGGATGGATGATGGCCGGCGGCTTTGAGAAGGGGATTGGGCCGACGGTTGGGTGTCTTTTGGCCTAGGGTTTGGGTGGAGTTTTTGGCAAATAGGAGAAAGAGAGACGGGGAAGTGACAGTTAGGAAAATAAGGAGAATAATAAAAAAAAAAGACAAAATCACGAGCCTTGGACTTTTCCGAAGACTGACGGGTGATACGTTGCTCTTCTCGAAGGGACTTCAAGCCACGAGCCTGGACCCATCTTGCGGCTGGTGAAAACTTCGATTTCTTCCAATAAGAATCTCACTAACGTCCTACCAAAAGAACAGAAGTGCAGAACATTGATTTTTATTATAATTCCATCATACATAATACAAGAGAAGGGGCCTTTATATATAGGCCTCAAAAGAAACTAAAAATAAATTTGCCGCTTGAGCTTACATAAGATAAGACTCTTAAATAAAAAGGGTAAAAAAAGGAAAATTGCAAAATTAAATAAAAATACAATTAAGAAACTAAAATAAAATGGAGTGATCTCGGCCATCGATCTTCGACTCTTTGAATATCGTCTACTATCGGATGTTCGCATCATTCTCCCGGGGTGAAAAAGAGCTTGATTCCGTCGATTTCGCATCCCGAGCAATCATGCTTTGATACCAAGCTGATGTAGAACAGATATGGGGGGTCATTTGGAATTTTAATTTCAAATTAAATGGGAAAATAAGGGAAGTGGTACTTAATTAATCCCTTAAATGGAGAGAGATTAGGGGCATTAATGGAGAAGCATAAATTAAGTAGAGAGAGAGAGGGGGTGAATTTAAAGATTGCCTATTCATTAGTCTTAAATTAAGGGAGAGAATTTTATTCAAATCAAATTTAGAATAGAATTGAAATTGATTTAGAGACTTTCCTAAAATATATTATTTGATTTAGGAAATTATTTGAATTTCAAATTGTGTTGGATTTGAATTCAAAACCTTTCTAAGATAATCATTAATCTAATTTTGTGAAGAAATTTAAAGAGGGCATGGGTATGGGGCCGGCCAAGAGAGAGGGGAGACTAGGGGTGTCTAGGTTCAATGTATTTGGATTAGGGATTAATTAATCAATTAATTTCAAAATTGATTAATTAATTGAATGAAAGAAGTTTCAAAAAAATAAGGTAACTAATGAGATTAATTTGAATTTAAAATATTTTCAAATTAATGACAACTTAAATAAGGAAAAAGGGATTTTTTTTTTTGGAAAGTGGAGCTGGGGAAGGAGGTGGCCTGCGGGTGGGTGGAGCCATGGTGGATTTTGGCCAAGGGGACGGAGGAGGAAGGGAGGGGCTGGTGTAGGCCGATGGTGTGGAGGTGATGGGGGTGAAAGGATCAACGCCTTAGTGGAGGGCTTGAGGAGGTGGTGGTTTAGAGAAATAAGTAAAAATAAAACAAAGAAAAATAGATAGAACCGCGAGCTTTGGACTCTTCCGAAGACTGACGAGTAATACGATGCCCTTTACCAAGGGACTTCAAGTCACGAGCCCGGACCCATCCTGCGGCTTGTGGAAACCACAATTCCCTCCATAGGGATTCCCAGTAACGTCCTTCCAAAGAACAAAAGTGCAAAACAATTTTTTTTATTAATAATCCATCATGACATTACACTAGCAAAGGCCTATATTTATAGGCCTCAGAAATAAAAGAAAGTAAAATAAGATGATAATGCCTCTAGGGCTTACATAACATTAGACCCTTAAGTAAGGTAAAAATGGAAAATGCATAATTAAAATAAAAATTATAAATAAAAATTTAAGATAACATAGGACGACCACAGACGTCTATCTTCAGCTCCTCATTAGATAGGCATGCACGATTGGATGTCTGTATCATTCTCCCGGGATGGAAAAGAGCTCAACTCCGTCGAGTTCGCGTCCCGGCTGAGCAACCATGCTCTGATACCAAACTGATGTAGAACGGAGGGGGTCGGCCGAAAGAGGGGAAAAAAGTAAAGGCGTTCACCTACGTTGAATGTGTCCACATACGGTGAAAGTGTCCACATAGGATGAATGTGGACTTAAGGAATTTCTAAACTTGAATTATTAAAATAAGGAAAGGGGAATTATGACAGGTATTTAATTAAATTCAAATTGAGAGAATTAAGGAAAGCCTCCTAATATAATTCATCCTATTTTAAGAAAGAATTTCAAATTAAAATTAATTTATATTTGAATTTAAAAATTATATTTGAATTTAAAAACTTTCCAAACTTAAGATGCATCAAATAAGGAATGCCTTAAATAATCAATTTGAAAAGTGGAGGGAAAGAGGAAATAGGAAGGGGGTAGGGCCGGCAGCTAGCATGATTATGGGTGATTGATACGAGGGGTTAAAGGTGGCTATATTTAGAATCTTAAAATAGGAAAGTGGATTTAAATAAACTCCTATTTAAAATTCAAATTGCATGATTTGAGGGACTTCCCTAAAATAGTTTTCTTCATTTAGGAAGTAAAATTCAAATTCAATTGAATATGAATTTAAATAGTTTCCAAAATTAAGGGGAGCTAATTTAGTAAAGAATTTGAATGCTAGATTTTGAATCTTGGAGCCAAGGGATGGATGATGGACGGCGGCTTTGGGAAGTGGATTGGGCCGGTGGTTGGGTGTCTTTTGGCCTAGGGTTTGGGTGGAGTTTTCAGCCAATAGGAGAAAGAGAGATGGGGAAGTGAAGGTTGGAAAATAAGGAGAATAATAAAAAAAAAAGAAGAGAAAACTGCGAGCCTTGGACTCTTCTGAAGACTGATGGGTGATCTCCAAGGACTTCAAGCCGCGAGCTTGTACCCATCTTGCAGCTGGTGAAAACTCCGATTCATTCCCATAGGAATCTCACTAACGTCCTCCCCAAAGAACACAAGTGCAGAACACAAATTTTTATTATAATTTCATTATACCTAATACAAGATAATGGTCCTCTATATATAGGCCTCAAAAGAAACTAAAAAAAAAATTGCCCCTCGGGCTTACATAAGACAAGACTCTTAAATAAAAAGGGTAAAAAAGAAAAAATGCAAATTTAAATCAAAATACAATTAATAAACTAAAATAAAACGGAGTGATCTCGGCCGTCGATCTTCGACTCTTCCTTTGAATATTGTACACCATCGGATATCCGCATCAGAAGGCCCTCCTATGCAAGAAGATAACGTCAAAATGGAATTTTAGAAATAGCAGTTAAAAAATAGATGGAAATCAGTGCATTTTTACATGTTGACATGCAGCATACACAAATAACTTGTCATTGACTTGATTTATTTGCAAGTGGCTTGAAGCTAGGTTTAATGGAGAATCACATTAGAAGGATAAATGATCGATTGTCCAAAATTGCAGAATGTAATAAGATAAATGCATTTTCCAAGACGTGTAGTCTTTCTTAATCTTACAATGCATGAGGACTTGGCCCATGGAGCGAAAGAATTCAATGCAGCAGTCTGTTCTTTTATAAATTTGGAGACAAATTAAGTTTTTAACGACAAGTGTAAAAAAGGAAGATCCTATGGGTGAGATAGCTTAGACCTAGCCTTTACCAATCAGCTCCTAATTAGATCCCATATGCATAGAATGATCCCGAAGCATTATAACAATGTGAATGACCTGGTTGGCAGATTTAGAGTTAGGGTACTGTCTAAGTCACTATAGGATTAATATTTCTGTTGATGATAATATTTATAAATTACATTATGATTTAATCTTATCTACCGAGAGTGAATCTTGCATTAGGAATTTGTTATGATCGGTTGCTAGATGAGATCGGTACCTGTGGCTTTCATTGATGATTATTAGAACTCGCGGCATTTATTTGATAAGCAATCTAGTTCTTCAAATTTCTGTTCACTTGCATTTTCATCCGTCTAGGATTGTAGTTCATTTGATTTATGGAGATTACAATGTCCTAGTTAAAACCTTTGCTTCCAGAAGAAACGACCAATCCAGTCCAGTGAGCTAAAGTCTCAGATCAGTCAGCTCCAAGAGGACCTGAAGAAGATGAAGAAACAGCTGAAGTCATGTGAATCATCAAAGAGTCAGGTACAGCAGGAAGCTGATGAAGTGAAGAAACAGCTCACAGCCAAGTCGGCAAAGCTAGAAGAATTACAGCTACAGTTGTTGGATTTTTCTACAGCTGAGGACAATCGACTCGAAATGCTTCGTAAAATCTCCCAGGAGCACAATATAGTATGGCAGTCTGAGCTCGAGGCTCTCCAGAAACAGCATTTGCTTGACTCGACCACCCTATTGTCTGCAATGAATGAGATTCAGTGGTTGAAGCAGCAGCTCGATGTTATGAAATCAGAAACAGGACAGGCTGAGGATTCAAAAATGAAAAAATCTGAAGTAGATACCTTGAAAGAAGAAATGGCAGACACTCTGTCAAACATTGAGAACCTTAAAATTCAGAATAGGGAGAGAGGGTTGGCAGAAGAAGCAGCAAAATTTATTCTTTCCGAAACCCAGAAGCAGCTGGAAATAGCTAATACTACCATTCAATCTCTCCGTGCTGATGGTTATAATTTTTTGAAGTCCTTGAACTCTGTAACATCAAAGTTGGAAGAGTCTAAAGTTCGAGTTAGTGTTCTCGAGGAATTACTAACGGAATATCAGATAGTTGCGGAGGATAATGAAGCTGATAGAAGAAATCCTCCTTGTAAGATTGAATGCGGAGCTTTACAGTTAGAATTAGAGCAGTTGGGAGTTGCGCTTAAAGCAGCTGAGGCTAAGCACCGTGAAGAACAAAGTTGAACTGCAATTCAAATCCAATCAGCATATGAAACTGTTGAGCATGTGAAGTTTAATGCAAGGCTGAGAGAATCAGAACTAAAATCAACCATAGAGAAATCCAAAGTTGAACTTTCATAGTTGAATGAATGATTGCTTGAATGGAAAAGGAAGTCCAGAACATATCAGAAAGGAACAAGGAGATGAGAGAGGGATTGAGGAAGGGTGAGGCTAACCAATTTGACTCTGAGTTGAAGCTAATAAAGGCTGCAACAGATGTTAAAGAACTAAAAGCAAACCTCTTGGATAAAGAAACAGCTCTCCAAAGAATTTTGGAACAGAATGAAATCTTGAATTCAGAGCTCAACAAGAGAGACAGTGAACATCAAAATATATATTCTGCAGCTATTGCCGATGCTGAGAAGGCAAGGGATTCAGAGAAGGAAGCACTGATGAGAATAGGTCTTATTGAAGACGAGGCCGAGAAGAGCAGTAAGAGGACAGTGAAAATTTTAGAGCAGCTGGAGGAATCCAAAGCAGTGAACTTGGAGCTGGAAACTGAGCTAAAGAGGCTTAAGGTGCAGTCAGATCAATGGAGAAAGGCAGCAGAAGCTGCTTCAGCAATTCTCATATCTGGAAATGATGGCAGAAACATTGAGGATTGTAATAAGAATTCCATATCTGGTAAGCTGACAGGCTCGCTTTTCTTTGATGACTTGATGATGAATCACTAAAGAAGAACAATAGTGTACTGAGAAAGATTGGTGGATTATGAAAAAAGAGCCCAATATGAGCATTCCTAAGATCTTATGTTGCAAAACCTTTAGCAATTCATTGTTGTGATGCTTCTTTAGCCAGATCATTTAGGCTTCATTTGATAGAGTTTTCTTTTTTGCTTTTACAATGGAAAAATTCATTGTTGTGATGTTTCTTTAGCCAGATCATTTAGGCTTCATTTGATACAGTTTTCTTTTTTGCTTTTACAATAGTTTTCTAGTATGAAAACTTCTTTAATGTATTAGAAAGCAGTGATTGGGGCAAGCTGAGGAAGTTGAACATGATTTGTAGGGATTTGAGAACTTTTAACTCTATCCCTTTCCTATGGAACTACAAAAATTTGAATTTCAATGTACTGAAAATACTTGGTTATAAATATTTCCTAGTCAGAGGTGAGAAGATGGTCATTCTTATACCCATATATTTCATATCAATTTTATTGAGGATTCTCTTTATCTATAAACATAAGTAACATATCAATTATATATTGTTTGAATTATCAAATATACTGTATTTTTACGTGCTATGATTAAAACGTTGAAAATTTGGCAAGCAAAATCTATAAGTTGAGATTTCATTGTGAATTTTTATATTTGAGTGATAATTTAGAAAATAAAGATATGAGAACATTAATTTTATAAATACTATATATATATATATATATATATATATATAAAATTCATTTAAAATCAAACAAACCAGAAATATATTAATATTAATTCTAAATAAATTTTCCAATAATAAATTCCTTAATAATTCATTAAATGGTAATTTCTCTAATAATTAATTAAAAACACTAAATCAATCCTAAAAATTCACAAAAATTAAATAAAACTAAATAAAAATTAGAGAATCATACTTTGGAATTAAAATAAGGTTTCAAATAAATTTTAATTATTAAACCATAATAATTCAATAAACCTTTAATAATTAATAATT